TCAGCTCAGAAACTCAACAGAGGGTCACTAGGAGTCTGAATCAACGGAATGGCAGTAAGAAGACTATTTTTTACCTGGACAGATTTGAAATTCTAGACATTTTATAATAAGACATTACTAGAAACAACTACTGTTTTCTATTGTTGTTGATTGCCGTCGAGTTGAGCATGGTTCATAGCAACCTTATGAACAAAAGACCTGAAGCCTTTCTATAATTATCATCATTTCTGTTGGAGACAAGATAAAAAGCACGTTTAGTAAATAAAATCTACTTTACAAATTTATAGATATCTTGGCTAATTAAAGAAGAGAAAGTTGGCTTCTAGATTTTCTATATTTGGGATAAAATAAATTGTTCACCATTTTCGACTTAGTTACAATGTACAAACCAGACTACAGAAACATGCATCACACACAAGCACACACGTCCACTCACTGGCTTCTTCCCCATGGCAATAAATAAAAAGCAGCTCCTTACCAACAGTGCTGAGTTCTACTAAAAATTACCTTGGTGTTAGATAATTTTATAATTAATCCTGCTGGATGGAGATAGTCATCCCACTGGTATAAAATTTTTGTAGAGACAAATGATTTTAACACGTGTGTCTGCTTGGCAGGACTTAAAAAGTTAACATAGATAACAAATGCAACATCTGACAACTGACGGTCCTATGGAATGGAAGAAAAAAAAAAAAACAACCAAAAAACTCCCTGCTGCAAAGGGGTGCAGCTGTGAGTGGTATGAAAAGGAAAGTTTGTTCTCCTGGCTCCCTTTCATCCACCAAACCCACCACTAGCTGTGGCATCAATTCCACACACACACACACACACACACACACACACACACACACACCGCCCCCGCACAGCCACTGCTTGCATTTCAGAATAGGGCCACACTCCATACAGTTCTCAGCGGTGAGCTCAATAAAAGAACTAGATCACCAGCGCTTTCTTCCAAGGCACCCACTTTCTATTAGTGATTGACTTGTTAACTGTGGCACCCAGAAACTTCTTCATCAACTAATGAGGAATATTACTTCCAACTCACAAGAGGTGTGTTCTGTGCTTGACAAAGTCAACAGTGTGACCATATCAACCAGTATGAACCAAAAATGTGCATCATGAGCTCAAAATGTGGACTGTGAACTCACACTGAATTGGTCTCTCACAATTCAAGGCTTCACAAAAAAAACAAAACAAACAAACAAACAAAAAAAAACCCCAAACCACCAAAACCACCTGTTCATGCTTTAGGATGCTCTGGTGGCACAGTATGGGGAATTGCACTGCTAATCCCAAAGCAGTTAGAATCTACCAGCAGCTCCCCTCAAGAGAATGATGGGCAGTCTCCTTGTGATTGACAGCATCTAAAAACCTGAAGGAGGGTCCGTTAAGAGTCTGTTGCCAATTAGAAAGCAATGCACTTGAGGGCTGTTGTGTTGTTGTGGGCTTTTTTGTTTGTTTGGGTTTTTTGTTTGTTTGTTTTTAGGGGGGTGGGACCTGTTCCTCCTGGTGAGAAAAGGGTCAAATAGATTCACCTCAATCTAGGGTGCTGCTGATACCCAGTCCTTTCTGGGCTTTGTGCTGCTGGACAACAAAACTGCTTGGTGGTATGTCCCAAGGATCAGGTGCACTGGCCCCTCAGGATTTCAACAGACCTTAACTATCAACAGGCCTGAAAATCTGCCTTCACAGATCCTAAGTCAAATAACCAGTTTATCTAGTCAGAGGCTTCTGATCCTTTATCTCAACTTATAGTTGATTATTTTTAGCAAAAACAGCAATAACAAAATAACAGAACCCAAGAGTTTCCAGGCAACACGAACCGGCTTTTTTATGCAAGACTCCATACCTTACAGCATCAACAGCATACCTTACGTAGTAACTTACTTTATTATTTTCTAAATCTCATGGTGAACATTAGCTGCCTTCTCAGCATCTCTTCTCTGACACCTCTTGTCCTCTGTCTTGGTCTATAAAAGCTTTTGGAGATCTGTACACAGCTATTAAGTTACTCCTCTGTCTCTCAAATTTTTGAGCCAGCAAAAGCTGAACCATCCCGAGATGAAAACGAAGCAGCAGCAAAACTTTAACTCTCCAGGGAAACAAAATGAGAAGAGGAAAACCCGAGCCATTCTAGCCTGCTACATTTTCGCCTTTCATATTCAGCAATGACAAAAGCATTTGTCACTTGTAGGCTGAAGTGCCATCTCCAAAATAATCGTCCTCTGCTAAGAGTTCTTAAAAAGTTTACTGAAAATAATGTTCCTTCCTGGGGCTATGTAGCCCCACGATGAGTTAATAGGAGGATGCCCCGGGCAAGGCCCCCTCAAGGCGACCCCACAAACCACTCTAATTTCACTGAGGTTCACTGAAAGCCACACAAAGGCTGGGTCAGAGGCACACCGACCACCCCAAGGAAACTAGGCTTGTATACACACACACACACACACACGCGCGCGCGCACACACACACACACATGGTTTGTGATCACGTGCATTGTCACAAGGAACCGGCCCACTCAGGGCCCCA